TTTTGAGAGAGAAAGAGCGTGAGTGGAGGAGGGGCAGAGAGAGAGGAAGACACAGAATCCGAAGCAGGCTCTAGGCTCCCAGCTGTCAGCACAAATCCCGACACGGGGCCTGAACTCATGAGCCGTGAGATCATGACCTGAGCCGAAGTTGGACACTCAACCGACTGAGCCACCCAGGGGCCCCGAGACCTATGTTCTAATTTACCAACCTGCCTGTGAGTCTCTCTTGGGATCCTCAGGATCTTCAGAACGGTCAACTTCTTCAGGAAGAAGTCTAGAGGGGAAAGATTCCAAGGGGGAGCAGAAATGAGGGTAACCGCATCGAGCCAGGTATCAGTTTATCAGTCCTCTTGCCCTGCCACGATTTTCTCACCTCTGCCTCCCTCCCCCGCTCCTTCCTTCAAGTCCTAAGGAACATCCCTTAAAGTCCTCACCTGGGGAATCCCTCATCCTGCCACTCTTCCTTCAGCTCCAGCTCCCCGAGTCTCAGGGGTGCTGCTGGCCCTGCTTCAGCATTCTCCCCAGCCCTAAGAGTCCCAGGGGAGAAGAGGTGATCGTGAGACAAACTCGGCAGTGTCTTCAGGGAACTGGATCATAGGTAGGAGACACTGGAATGAATAGTAATTAAGGTACAGAGCAGAGAGCAGGCCTTAAGAAAACCCTCAGATCTCTTGTCTTCTGGATACTTCTACTACCTCCACCCCTTCCTGGAAACAGATCACCCCCACGGTGGGGTTTTCAGAGCCCAGGGAGGGTGGAATGTAAAGCTAATTGTATCATCGTATTTAACTCTGTGGCCTTGCTCTACCTACACGAGAGTGGTGAAGATATTCCTTGTTACATACGATTGGGTGGAACTTGACAGACCTGCCCAGCTGTCACCAGGCAGGGCTGGGGATGATGGCACCTCGTCAGGCCTGATGCTGGGGAGTGGTCAGGGCAAAGCCTGGCAGAGGTGGAGGGGTGGGGGAAGAAGGTAAGGAGGAAGATTTGCTGGGAAGGAGTACCTGGACCTCAGCTTCTTTCTGGGTCAGCTTTCCTGAGGGCCATTCTGGGGAGTGGATATTAGAAAACACAACAGGCAGGCTTTTCTTTCTTTCTTTCTTTTTCTTTTAAGCTTATTTTGAGAGAGAGAGAGACAGCGAGCAGGAGAGGGACACAGAAAGAATCCCAAGCAGGTCCACACCATTAGCACGGAGCCAGATGTGGGGCTTGAACCCACGAACCATGAGATCATGACCTGAGCCGAAACCAAGAGTCAGGCGTTTAACTGACTGAGGCACCCAGGCCCCCCAACGGGCAGTTTTATCAGATACAACACAATAGGGGATTATCCTGAACCCCCAGTTCCTCATTTTCTACCTGAAGCCACTCTACTTCTCTGCAAATTCCTTTTCTTGCAGTTGGGTCTCTTCCAGGAAGCCAAGATTTGCCCTGGTCAGAGCTCACAACTATTCATTGCTCGTTTCCAATCCAGTGGGCCAGATCTTACTTACCCAAGGTCTAACGTCTTTTCTCCCACCTCTTGTGTGGTCCCCATCTTGCCACGTTGGTCTGTCTCCCTTAAATGCTTGCAGCTGTCTTGAGAGTGGGTTGTCCTGGCTCCCCAGAACTTTCGTGGCCTTCTCTGTCTCACTGCTAGATGCTCCTGCCTCCAAGGAAGGCAACCTCGCCTTCAAACAGGTTTTGCCACCTCCCTTTCCCTTCCCAAGGAACAGGTTTGCCCAAGAGAAAAACCCTGCCTATGTGGGGGCGGGCTTTGGAGGAGAGAACATTTTCTAAAATGGCTAGTCTCAGGGGAGTCAAGGAAGGCAATTTGTTTTCCCTTCCAGACTCCTTATAATCTTCTGGAAGCTACTCTTTATTTTTTTTAAAACTTATTTATTTTGAGAGAGACAGAGAGCAAGCAGGGGAGGGGCAGAGAGAGAGGGAGAGAGAGAAGCCCAAGCAGGCTCTTGCAGAGTGAGTGCAGAGCCCGACATGGGGCTCAGTCTCACAAACCATGAGATCATGACCTGAGCCGAATCAAGAGCTGGACCTTAAGCGACCAAGCCACCTGGAGGCTGCTATTTAAACAAAAAAATCAAAAAAAACAAAAAGCAAAAGACAGTGGTAAAAAAATATTTTGGTTTTGAGACTATCTTGGCCCCACTTTTTGAGCATAAGCAAGATTGGGAAAGCCATCTTTAGGAGTGTTCTGGGTTCTAGAAGAAGAAACAAATGAAAGGCTGAGGATAAGGAGAGATAGAAGGCTGTAACTCCTCATTCCCAAAAAGAGTTAATGAAGGGAACCATCCCCCAGAGCAAGAAGAAGGGAGATGCGTCTTGAGGAGACTGAAACCATTATCAGAGGGAAGGGCCTGATTACAGTTATAAAAAGAGACAATGAGACCCCAAACAGGAAAAAAAAAAAGCATTTAATACTTTAACAAAATGCAAAATAAGGTACCCGAGTTACAAAACATAAATTCCTTTGGTTCAGAAATCACACAACTATTTTTACCTTCCAATGGCTACAGACATCATCCCCTAAAGCGAAGTCACATCATCCCCCTCTTACTGAAGACGTCATGCCAAAACTGTCACACATCCCACTGTTCGGTGGAACCACTGGCAACTTACATGGAATAGGGCCGTGGGGTAGGAAAAAGGGGAGCAGGTTGGTCTGAAGGCAAAAGGGAGACTCTACACATGCAGAACGAGTCAGTGGGGGAGTGCTCTGTAGGTCACTACGGTATGAATCACACCCCTGTACATGCTACATGAGGCTGAGTCCCTTGGTACAATCACATATAAATACAATTCACCCACCCTGAGCTTTCCCAGGGAAAACAGAAATAAAATACACACACACACACACACACACACACACACACACACACACAGAAGCAGGGGAGAGATGGCAAAAGAGGCAGATCCCAGAATACCAGAGAACATCTAGTCCAGACCCTTGGTCTTACGGATGGGGAAAATGAGACCTAGAGAAATGAAGGGTCTTGCCAAGAGAGACATAGTTCACGGCACTCAGTATTAGAACTCCATGTTCCCTTCGATATGAACAAGAAGAGAACGAGATGGACAAGGAATTTGGGGCCACCAAAGCAGGGCATAGAGCCGGGGCTCTCACTGCACTTTTGCTGTCTTTTGGGAAGAGTGCCTATGTGGTCTTAAGGCCTTCCTGGGTGTCTCCTGAACTCTCAAGAACCAGGGGTCTTCTGGGTCTTTTCAGGGTCCCTGTGGCTCTGGGGTATCCCAGAAACTGAGAGCCAGGCCAGCTGACCAGGACAGAAGATAATGGCCTCCCAACAATCCTAAAAGAGTCAGAATGAGCTCAGAACACAACTGTGGCCACCTCGGCCTTAGACACCACCACTTAACTGGGGGCAGAAAGAGGAATCATGGGGCCGGATTCTGCTGAAGGCTGAAAACAGCAAGAGAAGTTTCCAAAAGCACACTCTCTCTTCTATCTAGCTGAAAGGAGGTAACCAATAAATACCTGAATGAATAAGAGAATAAATGAATACAAGGAGACAACGATTGCTTGGTTTCATGAGAGATACCGGTTCTGTTGAAGAGCCTTACTGAGGGCACTGCTGGGGTATGCTTTCCTGTGCCGCTCTGCCGCAGCTATGCAGGTACTACCTTGTGCCCCTGGCCAACGAGAAACAGAGGAGAGTCAGTGCAGATTTGGAGAATTAAATTAAATAATATAATCTGTCTAATGGGTAGAGATCTGGAGAAAAGGCCAAAAGCCATCCCTCAAGCAACTGTTTTCTTTCACTTCTTTCTCCTCCCAGGTTCACGAAAACAGTACACCAGACCCCAGAGCACCGAAGTCAGAACTGCTGACACATCTCAACACGTGCAACTGAGGTGGTTCGAGCAACCGCCCTCCCTACCCTGACCGCCCCCAGCAGTCACTTCTGAGACAGTGAGGCAGCAGTCGACTGTGACAGTGAGATCTGACTGCACTTCTCGAAGATGGCCTCAGCTGAGAGTTTTGGCAGCCCCTGATCCAGGGGGCATTCGTCCACCAGGCTGTTCATGGGCGTGGGGGGCAGTGGAGGCTCCTCCTCATCTTGACTCAGTCCAGGCACCAGGGAGCTCCCCGCCCTGTCCAAGTCCTTGTCTGCCTGCTCCCTGCACACACCCTCGGTCTCGGGCTGCCCTGACGGGATCTTCACAGAGTCAGAATATGCTGACAGGGCCTCCTGGAGCAGAGGCAGAAGTTTCTTCCGAGATACCTGGGTGTTGCCCTGAAGATAGGCCTGGAGGTTAGGGTGGGTGCTTGGGGCAGGGGTCAGCTTCAGGGACGGAGAGTGGGAGCATTCCAGAACTCCACAGATCTAAAGAGGAGACAAGATGGGGAGATGGTACGTGAGGTGGTGAAGCAAACAGCTGGGGTCTCTTAAGTTAGAGGCTTTCCTTATAGAAGGAGAAATACTTTTGATTAAATCAGCCAGAGTTCAGTATTACTGCGAATACATATAGTATTTAGAAACAGAAGAAACATTTGATGTTTATTTTTAAGACAGACACACACACAGAGAGAGAGAGACAGAATGTGAGTGGGGGAGGAGCAGAGAGAGAGGGAGACAGAATCCGAAGCAGGCTCCAGGCTCTGAGCCATCAGCCCAGAGCCAGACACGGGGCTCGAACCCATGAACTGCGAGATCAGGATGTGAGCTGAAATAGGACGCTTAACCGACTGAGCAACCCAGGCGCCCCAATTGAGATCATATATTTAATTTTTGTAAACCCAAGCCTGGAGAGATTAAGCATCTTGAGCAAAAGCACGTAGATGATGGGAGTCTGAACCAGAACCTAGGACCCCCTGACCTAGTGTTGTTTCCAAGTGTATATCTGTGCTCAAAAACTTGAACTCTATCCTTAGCTAGAATGGGACACACATGTAGACTGAGGTCAGGGGCAAGACAGAGGCAGAAAGAATGAACAGATCAAAGTGGGGGTGGGAGGTACATCAGGCGTGGTGCTGAGCCTGACCACTTCCACATATTACCTCATTTAATCGTCACAACTACCCTCTAAAATTTGGATTAGTATTACCTTCATTCACAGGTAGGGAAACAGAGGCTTAGATGAAGTAACTTGCCTAAGGTCATAGTTTGAATGAAGCAAAACTGACACTTGAAGCCAGGTCTGCCACCAAAACCAGTGTTCTAAACCACTCTCTTCTATCGTTTCCAACAGAGGAGGAAGAGACGAAATGGCAGGACACGCTGTGAAACCTCTTTCCCATTTCCCAGTGCAGAGGCAGCCTGGACAGTGGGGGAACCCTCTGTTATCTGCAGAACTTTGCAAGGGTGTGGTGGGGGGGGAAGGTGGGGACACTTAGGAAGGTGGGAGAGACACTTCCCATGGCCAAAGCACCCTTTCCTTCTGGACACGATTAGTGAGAGCCACCATTTATTCAGTGCTTACTCTGTGCCCAGCAATGTACTTTACGTACGATATTAGGTTTAATGAGCACATCAGGCTAATCAGTGGGTAATACTATGCCACGTACAGATTCAGAAGTCAACTGACTTGCCTGAGCTCAGAGAGCAGGTAAGTGGCCAATCTGGGACAGAAAACGTGTCCATCTGCCTTTTAAAACTGTAGTTCTGGGGTACCTGGGTGGCTCAGTCAGTTGAGTCTGCTTTGGATTCTGTGTTTCCCTCTCTCTCTGCCCCTCCCCTGCTCATATTCTCTCAAAAAATAAAACGTTAAAAAAAAAAACCAAAAACACAAAAACTACTTCTTTCCACAGTGCCAAACTACCTTCCACTGAATGAAATCACATTTGCTTTGTGGAAGAGAAGGAAGGGTGACATACCTTCCATGGATGCAAAAGATTATCAGGCTGTATGCAGACCAGTCTTTAGCAGCCTTCACGTAGCCCAATAAACCCCAAAGTCCCTGGACTGACTCACATCCACTTTTTTTTTTTTTAATTTTTAAATGTTATTTTTGAGAGAGAGACAGAGAGAGACAGAGCATGAGGAGGGGAGGGGCAGAGAGAGGAGGAGACACAGAATCTGAAGCAGGCTCCAGGCTCTGAGCTGTCAGCACGGAGCCTCATGTGGGGCTTGAACTCACGGACTGTGAGATCATGACCTGAGCTGAAGTCGGACGCCCAACCAACTGAGCCACCCAGGTTCCCCTCGCGTCCACTTTTAAATTCTTCTTCCCTGGGCTAATTGCCCAGTAACCAACAGAGGAAAAGAAAGGGGAAGAAGTGGGAAAGGTGGCCAAACAGATCAGGAAGGAACACCTGTGCTTCAATCCCTTTTCTACAGAATTAGCATTAGACACTGTCATTCATCGCTGCACAGTTAAGTAGTAGAAAAGGCTTCTCTTGAGTTTCCCATTTTCAAGGCCATAGGGTAAAAAGGAAGGAACTGATTTTCTGGGGTGAAGATTAAAGATTAGGCTAAGAATCGAATTTTAACTCCAGATTTATAACACTGTCTTTTAATCTGATTTCAAGGTCCTTCTAAGTGGGAACTGTGTCTCTAATTCCCTTTGAATCTCTCTTAACAGTATGACTAAGGCTATTCACATATAGAATGGGGAAGGGCAGGGAGGGAGGATTCTGGAAAGAGGTCAAAGGACTTCTGTGTAAACACAAAAACCAAGCAGAGGTCTTTACAGCACTGGGCAGTGCTCACAAGCAGAGCTCTGTAGGGACCTCAGGCTGGAGAAGAGACAGAGACTCACCATCATTCGGAGCGCTGCATGGGGACAGAAAATAGCCAGCTGCCGCACTGGTTCATTGTGAGTGTTGAAAAAGATAGTCATGGCGACCAGGACATCACAGTTGTGCACCTGGCAGAAAGCATGGAGGTCTGCAATGAGGCCAGACCTCTGCAGGAAGGCCTGAAAAAGAAGAAATGGGGCAATGAAAAGGGCTACCGCTGGACTCTCCTTGTCACCAGTAAAAAAACGTGTTCACAAAGGGTATCTTTCCATGTTAACCTGGGTCTTGTTCTCCAGAAAAAAGGTATCCAATATTTACTCTGTGTTCTCTGTGTGCCGGGAAGCAGTATGTAGTATGGGGAAAATATAGGTTTTGCGTTCAGACAGAACTGGTTTGAAGATCAGCTCTGATAGGTAACTATTAGCTGTACCATCAAGGAGTTGTATCAACCTCCCTGGACTTAAGTTTGAGGATAAAACATTTACCATGTGCCTATTTTAAGAATTAAAACATGATTGCGTATGTAACATGCCTGGCACGTACAACGCCCTCCTGCTCTTGCCATTTTTTAAGCAAGGTCTTCGCCTCATGGGTATTTTCATTCTAATAGAACAATGGCACACACCGGTAACACACACGGGACAAGTGTATCATTGGCTCTTCATTCTTTGCCAATCTCTACTCTTCTCCAAAGTCTCATGTGGTATTTCCTCTACTGAATACTACTACCAGCCGATCCAGATCAGGGCTTTTCTCTGTCCTTGGCATATCTCACGTGTCAATTTCTCACTGTGTCAATTTATGCTATTTGGCAAGCCTTTTCTACTCATATGTTTGTTTCCCAAACTAGGCAGCAAGGGAAGAGACCAGGCCATTTTGTTTTATTAAAATTATTCAGTAGTTTTACACAGTATTTATAGAAAGCTGTACAGACTATGGCAGGATGTGTTCAGATCCAGTTGCCAAATGATTTAAAATGAATATGATATGGAACCAGGTAGTAAAATACCGTTATCAAAGTTACAGTCATTCACCCATTCAACAAAATTTACTGAGCACCGGCTATGCGCCAGGTACTGTCAAAGGTGCCGATACAGAAGAAACAGAAGAAACAGGGCTCCAGCCCTGGTGGAGCTGATAAACTGGCAGAGGAATGTAGACAATAAACAAGGAAACCATGAAATTGATCACTTCAGTCCATTAACTGCTAAGGATAAAACAAAATTTAAAATATTTTAGAGATTTTTGAGCACGAAGGATATTATGTTAGTCACAGTGGTCAGGAAAAACCTCTTATAAGAGGAGACATCTGAACTAAGACCTGAGTGATAAGGAAGAGCCAGCTCCGCAGAGGGAAAAGCCAGTGCAAAGGCCCTAAGGTGGGAATGAGCTTAATGGACCCCATGAACAGAAAGAAAATGAGTGTGGCTATAGCACTGTGAGTACAGGAGTGGGGCTGGAAGGAGATGAGGTCAGAGAGAGAGAGAGAGAGAGAGAGAGAGAGAGAGAGAGAGAGCGCCAAATCAAGGAGGGTCCTGTAAACCACAGTAGGGCTGTTATATTCTTTTTTTCTTTTTTTTTTTTTAAGTTGTATTTAAGTAATCTCTACACTCAACGTGGGGCTTGAACCCACAACCCTGAGATCAGGAGTTGCACGCTCCTCTGACTTAGACAGCCAGGTGCCCCTGGGGCCTTTAGATTCTATCAGGAGCGCAATGAAAAGGCAGCAAAGGAAGGGAGCTGATGTGATCAGAATTACATCTGTTTTGTTTTGTTTTGTTTTGTTTTTTCAGACTTACACCTTATAAAGACATGACTCTGGCTGCTATGGGGAGAATGGTTTGTAGGGGTGCAAGAGCAGAGGCAGGGAAACCGGTATGCAGGCTATTGTGGTAGTGCAGTGAGAGGTCACGGACTGTGGGAGTGACAGCAGACCTGTCTGCTGAAAGGGAAAGGTACATGGGTACAAGATTTATTTTGGAGATGAGCCAGCAATGAGGGGCAAGGTTACATATATAACTGAAGATTTTCTCTCCCCACCCACGCCTTGCTCTTACCTCCAAATCCATATATATTGCACTAATGGCCACCTTAATGCCTTGTCTGCAAATGGTCTTCTGGTCCTTTCTCAGCATTTGCTCAGTGGTCAGTCCTAGACAGTGAATGTGAGACCAGGGGTCAAACAAGAGAGCCCAGGGTCCCCAGCCCAGGAAGGTGAGGACACCAAGATGGGTCAAAGGTGAGAACAAACACAGCCTCTCCTTGGGCCAATGAATAGGGGAGATAACTAATTATTATATGATTATAAACAGATTATTTTACCCCTTTCTGTGTTGTTTTAACCTTCTGTAAGTACATGTGGTACTTTTTTTTTAAGGTCAATAGGTAGTATCTGGGTAACAAATTATGGAAGTTTTTTTGTTCTCTTCCTTTGTCCTTTGTATATTTACCCTAAATGTTTCTTCTGCTTCCCTAAACAATTATCTAGATCTCACTCAGATAATTTAGCATTCCCTCAGCAGATTTTACTCATATACTTTCTGATTAGCCCAGAAACCTCTGACACTCTTAATATATTCCTCCTTCTCCTACCCATTAGCCAGGATAGTAAATCAATTGATTAGCTCATGATCAGACTCACATACTACCTCGGTTCTCTCTGATTAAAGCATTATACATGCTCTGAAAACTGTTTCAATAGTGTTCAAAAATACTGTGAACAAGGCTTGTCCATCTGTTTTCTCATGCGGGAGGGAGAGAAGTCAGTTTATTGTTTCACACCTGATACATCAAACTTTGCCTTTTGTAGAGAATCAAAGATGTCATTTCTGTTGGGCAGATCTGGGAAGAGGGCCTCCAGCTTCTCCACATATCTGCTGTCCTTTGGGGTTGCCTTTCCAACTTTCAGGTCCATGTTGACACAGTCCAGGATGATTGTTCCTGTGGAGGCAGGAGGCAGGACTCAAATCCCATGGCCTTCCATTCACAACCACTAGAACACACACAACCCTCCAACCAGGTGGACATAATACAGGGAAGAGCGTGCAGCAAACACACTGGAAACGACATGAGGAACTGGGACTATGTGCTGAGTAAGACCACCCAATTCCAAACTAAAATGTGGGCAGGCAGAAAGGGTGCCTGAGCAGCTCAACCCTCAGAGATCTTGAGACCGAGTCAGAGAGACACGATCTCCCTTCTGTAGCCAAATTCCATTAAAAAAACCTAGAAATTGGAAGAGATAGTCTAGTTCAATCTCTCTCTCTCTTTTTTATTTTTTACAAATGGAGAAAATGAGAACAAGAAAGGTTGAGAAATCTTTGCTCAAGGTCACATAGCCACCAACAGGCAGCTTCTAGGTCTGTCTTCCTTTCTGCTTTCACCACAGCCTTTTCATGCCTGATTGCCCCCCTGAAAGAACCCAGCCTTTGATACGAGCTGGATAGCTTTGAAAGGGTATGATTAAGCTAGAAGAGGCTAGATGTTTCCACTCTCCTCTGGGGTGGACACGGAGGAACTAACCCGAAAGCCACCCTCACCGTGCAGAAGGGCTGCAGTTTGCCTGTCCAGGATCTCTGGTGCCCCCTGCAGGATTCTCTCGGTCACCAGGGTAGCGCAGGATCCCACCAGCTCAACTGAAATGTGGCAGGGAGGGCAGTGTCTCTGCTCGATGGGTCGATGGTCTAGCACCTCTGCAACTGTCTCCTCTAGGGCCGAGTCACTTCTGTGTGGGAAAGTGGGTGTGGGGAAAAGAGAAAGAAAGATAGGTGGGGGGACTCCAGCTGCTTGTAACCAAAGCTCCACCTCACCCATGAAGGAAAATGCACATCTTAGGCAAACACTAAGAACTTTGGTCACTTCCACCTCGGCCTCACTGCTCTCAATTCTTTTCTTTCATGTGAGAACCGAAGTCATCTTTAAATAGTATATAAACGGGAAAAAATAGTACATAAGTGAACTTGGTGAAGTATCAGCGACAAGCATCTCATCCACGTATTTGATCTCCTTAGGAGCTGCCTTTCCGACTGACACGCTTGGCACCCAGTATTTCAGTCTCTCCTGTCACTCAATCTGCTTAATACCCAAATGGCACACAGTTCACCAGATCCTATGGACTCTACCTCAATCCTTATCCGTCTCCTCCTTTCCAACCCTCTGCTATCGCCTTATTCTAAGCCCTCAATATCTCTCACCTAGATCGTTCCAACAATTTCCCAACCAAACACCCACTTCCCGTCTCAGGCCCTCCTAAGCTATCCTCCACAAAGCTGCTGAGTGATCATCTGAAAAATGCAAATTTGATTCTGTCAGGATCTGGATAAAATATAATTCACAATAGCTCCCCACTATCCTAACATCAAGTCTAATCTCCTTGGCAGGGCCTAAAGGGTGTCCAAAATCTAGCCCCACCCACCTCCCTAGTCTCACCTCTTCCTATGTCCTACTTCTGGGTCACATTTTATGCTCCAGCCATGCATAACAAATTCCATTTCTCCCAATCTACCATGCTATTTCATGCCTGCCTGCCTTTGCTTATATTAACTCCTCTCTCTGCCTGGATGCTCTTCCTAACTACCTCACCTCCCCATTCCAAGAGCAAACACTCAAGAGTGAGATCAAGGGTCACCTCTCTTAGGAAACTTTCCCTCGTATCCTCTGCTCCCCTCCAGTATATTTCACTACTCTATCCTCTACACACCTATTTGTCCTCTCGAGGGTCAGTTACCACACACTGCTAACACCCGTCACAATGACACTGAGATATTTTCTTTTGTAGGAAATAATTTTGCTTTTTTAAAAAATTTTTTTTTATGTTTATTTATTTTTGAGAGAGAGAGAAACAGAGCGTAAGTGGAGGAGGGGCAGAGAAAGAGGGAGACACAGGATCCGAAGCAGGCTCCAGGCTCTTAGCTGTTAGCATAGAACCTGACGTGGGGTTCGAACTCATGAACTACGAGATCATGACCTGAGCCAAAGTCAGACGCTTAACTGACTGAGCCACCCAGGCACCCCCCCACTTTTTTTTTTAATGTTTATTTATTTTTGAGAGAGAGAGAAACAGAGCGTAAGTGGAGGAATTTTGTTTTTTTGTTTTTTTTTTTTTAATTTTATTTATTTATTTTGAGAGAGAGAGAATCCCAAGCAGGCTCCAAGCTGCTTGGCACAAAGCCTGATACAGGGCTTGAAATCACAAACTGTGAGATGACCTAAGCTGAAAACCAAGAGTCAGATGCTTAACTGACTGAGCCACACAAGCGCCCCCCCAAAATAATTTTGCTTTTTAAAAATTAAGAAAAGGGGGGGCGCCTGGGTGGCGCAGTCGGTTAAGTGTCCGACTTCAGCCAGGTCACGATCCCGCGGTCCGTGAGTTCGAGCCCCGCATCAGGCTCTGGGCTGATGGCTCGGAGCCTGGAGCCTGTTTCCGATTCTGTGTCTCCCTCTCTCTCTGCCCTTCCCCCATTCATGCTCTGTCTCTCTCTGTTCCAAAAATAAATAAACGTTGAAAAAAAAAGAAAAATTAAGAAAAGGGACCCCTGGGTGGCTCAGTCGGTTAAGTGTCCAACTTCAGCTCAGGTCATGATCTCACAGTTTGTGAGTTCGAGCCCTGTGTTGGGCTCTGTGCTGACAGCTTAGAGCCTGGAGCCTGCTTCAGATTCTGTGTCTATCTCTCTCTCTGCCCCTCCCCTGCTCGCATTCAGTCTCTCTCTCTCTCTTTTAAAAATAAACATTAAAAAAATTAAAAAAAAATTTTTTTTAATTAAAAAGAGTTGGGGCACCTGGGTGGCTCAGTCGATAAGCATCTGACTCAATCTCAGCTCAGGACATGATCTCACGGTTTGTGGGATCAGGCCCCACATCAGGCTCTGCGCTGACAATGTGGATTGCGATTCTCTCTCTCTCTCTCTGCGTGTCCCTTCCCTACTCCCAAGCCCCCACACACATGCTTTCTCTCTCTTAAAAATAAATACATAAACTTAAAAGAAAATAAAAATATATTTAAAGATTAAAATTAAAAAGACCTGCAACTGGGGCGCCTGGGTGGCTCAGTCAGTTATGCATCGGACTTTGGCTCAGGTCATGATCTCACAGTTGGTGAGTCTGAGTCAGAGCAGAGCCCACTTCAGATCCTCTGTCCCCATCTCTCTCCCTCTCTCTGCCCCTCCCCCAAATCTGCACACATGCTCTCATCTCAAAAAATATTAAAAAAAACCCAAACAGTTGCAACCATTATTCAAAGGCTTCTGTTACAGTGAATCTGCCACAAAATAATGGTACTAAAGGCAGATTTAAATTATTTCTGAGTTATCCTTTAGTTTGACTTCTCTGTGTTTCTATTTCTTTTTGTTACTTGCATAACTGGAGAACTAACAATATTTTCTGTTGATTTTCTATATCTGATATAACCCAGCAACTGCAATTAGCCTGTGAGATCCCCAAGAGCAGAAATTCTTCCTCTCTTTATTTCTTACTCATCAGAGCTCAACATGGCACATGTTAAATATTGGCTTAACTTCCTTCCACTTACTTGGGTAAGACATGATGGTCAACAAGGATAAGGGTGAGTTGGCCAGCCTGGTGCAAGGCATGGAGGTCAATTTCATCCCGGAAAATCAAGAGGGACTCTGGAATGTGAATCTTCTGAAGGAAGAAGACGTTGTCACCTCGTAGAGGTAGCTCAGAACGTTTTATATTTAAAACTGGCACAAAGACTTCCTCAGTCTCTGTTGTCTGGATAAGGAAAGTGAAAAGAACATATGGCAATGTTTTGGCATAGACAGGAAAAGTAACAAGATTATTGGAACCAGAGGAGATATGATCTTGGGGAAGTAATTGCCTTTCTCAAAGCCACACCTACCCAGTTGATAAAAACAAAAGGACGACTCTTGCCCTCTCTCCTTCTTAGTATACATGAAGGTCAAGAAGACAATTCATGGAAAAGACCTGGTTCTAGATGCTGCGGAGAAGGGATTATTAATCCTTAAGAGCTGACCTGGGCATGAGATCACTGGTACCCAGAAGAACTCAAATAATAAACAGCTTGAATTTGCCTTATGATTTACAAATTCTTCAACATACATCTACTCATTTGATCCTCCCAGGGGCACTGCAAAATAGCATCATTTCAGATTTTAGAGATTGTGACCTGAGACTCAGTAAGGTTAAGGGATTTAACTGACCCAAGGGTAACTGGTGTAAAGTGGCAGCGCTGGGTCTTGGATCCAGATCTTTGCATTCTCAAGGACTCTGTTGCTAAGTACTCACCTTTGCCAGGTAAAAAGCCAGGGCAAGAGCTGACACCATGGAGTCCAAGTCACAGGCTTCATTTCCCAGCACAACATGTAGCGGCCGGGACTCCTGTTGAGGAATGAGAATGGGACGCTAGCAGACATACCTTTGTCCGTTTCCACTGCCCTTACACCTGAGCAGGGCTTCCCACACACCCTCTCACTGATCTTCACAGAGGAGGTGGGTCAGCCAATCTTATGACAGTCCTCATTTCATGGATGTGGATATTAGCAGACAGGCCACCTGTGTGTTGCTAAGTTTAAGCATTCCACATCCAACCAGGAGGTAGAAAAGTGCCCTTTCTTCTACTACGCCGTCTCCTTGATTGTTTTTTTTTTAATTTTTAAAAAAAATACTTATTTATTTTTGAGAGAGACGGAATGTGAGTGGGTTAGGGGCAGAGAGAGAGGGAGACAAAGAATCCAAAGCAGGCTCCAGGCTCTGAGCTATCAGCACAGAGCCCGATGCGGGGCTCAAACTCACGGGCCGTGAGATCATGACCTGAGCCGAAGTCGGACACCCAACCGACTGAGCCACCCAGGCGCTCCTCCTTGATTGTTAACTTAAAGAACAGCAGTAAATAATTCTCTAACGTCTTACGCCTCTTTGGGCACTCGAGAAATCAAAGGTAGAACAGTTGGGATAGGTGATAGTCAGGCTGCATCAACCCCAGTTTCCTCCCCTGACCCTGCTGTTTTCAAATAGGGAAAAACATCCATACACTTCTAAATCATAAGAGGCGAAGAGCTTTTGAAAATAAAGGTAAAATAAAATCTAGTCCATGATCCAGTTACCCAATCCATGAAAATGCCCCCAGCCCTTTATTACTATCATTATTATTATTTTTAAAGTAACCTCTATACCCAATGTGGGGCTCGAACTCATGAGCCTAAGATCAGGAGTTGCACATTCTACCGACTGAGACAGCCAGGTGCCCTGGAACTTTTATTTTTAAAGCTTTGAAAAGTCCAGCTGCTGATAAGAACTGAGGAGGGAGGGATATCTGCTGTTAGTATTAACCTTGTTCCCTTGTGTCTCCCTAGCTATCAGAGTCTTAAATAACAACCTGAAGAGGTAGGTACTTTAAGAATTATGTCCATGGCTCAGTTTAGGGCACAAGAATTCTCTCTTACAAATTTACTTTGGAACTTACACCTCAGCGTGCTTCTGAGAGAGGAAGAGATAAAAACAAAATGAGAGCTACCAGTTACAGCAGAGTTTCCTAATTTCAGCACCAGTGGCATTTTGGCCTGGATTGTTCTTTGTTGTAGGGGCTGTCCTGTGTGGGAGAAGTTTGGCAGCAACCCCAGACTGTACCCACAAGATGCCGGTAGCACACCCAGTCATGAGAATCAAAAATGTCTCCAGATGTGCCAAATATTCCCCGGGAGCGCAAAAGCACTCCCAGTTGAAAACTGCTAGGTTTTCAGGTAAAAATCCAAACACTCTGACTTCTTCAATCAGGGAAGATTTACTAGATGCCAAGAGTTTAGAAAAGTAGGAATGGGGTTCAGAGGAGCAAAACATAGCAAGCAATAGTTATCAAGTAATATAACTATAGGAAGAAAGGGAATCTGGGGGAACCTAGAATCATCTTGCCTGTTTGGCTGTTACCCTCCCTCCCCCAGAAAGCTACAGCTAGAAAGGTACAATTTTAGAGGACTTTTGGTGGCAAAAATCGCCCTATCCAGTAACTAAACAGGTTTTTTTTCTCCTTAAGTTTTATTTATTTAAATAATTTCTACACCCAACATGGGCTCTACACCCAACATGGGATCCCACAACCCCAAGATCGAGAGTCAGATGATTTTCCAACTGAGCCAGCCAGGTGCCTCAGGTTTTTTTGTTTGTGTTTTTTAAGTTTATTTACTTATTTTGAGAGATAGCACAAGCAGGAGAGGGGCAGAGAGAGAGAGACAGAGAGAGAGAGAGAGAGAGAGAGAGAGACAGAGAGAGAGAGAATCCCAAGCAGACTCCACACTGTCAGTGCAGAGCCCAACATAGGGCTCAAACTCATGAACTGTGAGATCATGACCTGAACCAAAATCAAGAGTTGGATGCTTAACTGATGGAGCCACCCAGGCGCCCCCCCCCCACAAGTTTTTTTATTTTAAACTACCCCCCCACCCCCCACATCTCCTACTCCCACCCTCAGAGAAGTACAAAAGGCAGAGGTTTCGCACAAAGGACCTGCGGGGAAAGTCCGCCCTTAGGTTCTCCCCTGCACCCATTTCTCTAAGCCTACCTCAAGAGGGTGGCAGGCCAGACCCACTCACACTGAACGACACAAGGGAGGGGAGATTCTTTTCAATATTAAACTCTTTTCCTACATAAGGGGAGAATTCAGTCCTATATTAACTCCTCTAACTTGCAATTTCTCCTTTGGATACCGGAGAAAGTCCCCCTGTTTCCCGGATACCGAGAACTGCCCAGATGGCTGCAGACCAGAGTGACAACACAGCACTTGAGGTAAGTGACTGTGGAGATAGCTTGCTCACTGAAGCAGCAAGGGGAGGCACTGTGTTCACTGGAAAGGGAACTGTGTAAACACGAGCGGCCATATGGCCCGGACGCTAGAGAAATAAGGTAAGAGGAACAGAGAAAAGGCAGAGCAAGTGGGACCCCCCTCGTGCTGGGCCCTCTGAGAAACTTTCCAAAACTCACTCACACTAGTGCTGCTCCAGCTGAATGAGGATGGGTCAGATCCCCAGCATGGAGGGGGGCTAAGCAGGAGAGCAGGAAGTAGGCGCCACATACAACTCTGTGACTCTGAGAGGATACCCACAGGAAGGGGAATAACTAGCCCCTTGTGCTTGTTCAAGCCCAGATGGCAACCCAAAGGAATGAATATCAAAGGAGTCCTCTGGGCTTTCAGCCCATCTTGAAGCAGGCCTGAGCAGAGGCTATGGTGGCATTCCCCTCCCCTGTCACGGTCCACCATCATCCCAGCCTGTCCGGTCTACTCACCACCCACAATACATGCTGTGTATATTCCCAGCTGTGCCCTTTAAGCGGCAGAACTGTCATGTGAAGAGGTCGCAGACTAGGGTTGAATCCCAGCTCTGCTTCTTAATTTTTTTTTTAACATTTACCTATTATTGAGAGACAGAGAGAGACAGAGCATGAGCAGGGGAGGGGCAGAGAGAGACGGAGACAGAATCTGAAGCAGGCTCCAGGCTCCGAGCTGTCAGCATAGAGCCTGACGCAGGGCTTGAACTTACAAACTGCGAGATCACGACCTGAGCCTAAGTCGGAAACCGACTGAGCTACCCAGGCACCCCTCCCAGCTTTGCTTCTTACCTGTTATGGGACTTCGGCCTCTCCAAGCCTCATTTAAAAATGATAATCGTGTAACCGATTTCATGCAGTTGTGACAAGGATTAAATGAGATAACCCATAAGTGTCTGCTCTGTAGCTGCCTTCCATCTTCTCCTTTCCCTACCGGTCCCTGCCTCTTCATGCCACCTGAAGGCCCTGTCTCTGGGATGCCTCCCCTGGCCACCCAGGCCAGAGCAATACTCTTCCGCTAGACCTCCAGCTTCCAGCACCTGCAGCCCTCATATGGAGCTTCTACCCTAAGGAGCTCGCCCTCTTTTCGTGGGCATGTATCTTAACTTTTAACATAGTTTATGACTTAGTGACCATTCATTCTGTTATTCAAATGGGGACACTTGTGAAGATAAAAAAGGGTGCAATAAATGGTTATATCTGAATAAACTAAACTGTCCTGGGCTGCCCAACTTATAAGGCACCCTTCTCTTCATCTAGGAGGAGCGTGTGTATCTCTTAACCTTCCACCTCTCCCCCCATCCCCCACCAGTTGAAAGCAAAGCCAAACTGCTTCGGTTTTCTGACCATCAGAGGAACAGTTCAGGACAGATATAGCTATACTTAGAGCAGGAGGAAACCTGAGCTGCCAGTGGAAGAAATGAAATCTGAGCACCCCAAGTAAATATAAACTTTTCTTTCTTAAACAGACAAACAAAAACACCCAAAGCTGGTAGTAACAATGACTGTGTCCTGATGTTCTTTGTGGCCTCGTGTGGGGAGAAAGGATAGGCTCTAGGGCTGGCAAAGTCAACCACTTCCCTTCTGAAGCTGAATATGGTCTGACACCTAGTCTACAAAATAGTTAATGAGGGAAGGAAAAAAAGAGCCAGGGATAGAGAAGCCCTCCCAGCACAGAGAATGGTATAGATATTGAGGAAAGGACTGTGCTGTCAGAAGGACAGCTGGCCACTCCTGATTCCTGCCCTATGCATACAGGAGGGCAGACAACACACATTATCCGAAGGCAGCTGGATGGATACCACCTATACTTGAACGCAGCCCCGCCTTGAAGCAAAGGTTTTTATCCACTAGACGTGAAAGATGAGTCACCATGAATACGATATTTAGTTAAACAGGATTTCTTTTAAAATGGAACATCCTAGGGGCACCTGGGTGGCTCAATCAGTTAAGTGTCTGACTTCGGCTCAGGTCATGATCCCACATCGGGCTCTGTGCTGACAGCTCAGAGCCTGGAGCCTGCTTCGGATTCTGTGTCTCCTTCTCTCTCCGCCCCTCCCCCACTCGTGCTATCTCTCTGTCTCTGTCTCTCTCAAAAACAAATAAACACTAAAAATAAATAAATAAAATGGAACATCTTACTATCGTTGTGGCAGAGGCTATAGAAAATTTCTCTGGTTATCAGGGGTGCTTGGGTGGCTGAGTTGGCTGAGTGCCCCTCAGTGCCGACTCAATTTCTACTCAGGTCGTGATCCCAGGGTCATGGGATCCAGCCCCACGTCAGGCTCCATGCTGAGTGTGGAACCTGCTTGAGATTCTCTTTTTCTCTTTCCTTCAGCCTCCTCCCCTGCTCAAGTACGCATTCTCTCTCTCTCTCTCTCAAATAAAAAAAATATATATTAAAAAAATTTCTCTGGTATCAAATAACAAAAATAAATCAATAGGGGAATTGGCCGGTTAAACGCTGTCTCTATCCTATGTAAAAGTCAAGCATTCACATTTCCCTAAAAGTTATACCAAAGCTTAACAGAAACACTCAAACCTAATAGAGTCTGTCTAAATCATGTATCTCTTTACACAAGAAATCATGGTGCAGCTTCTGGAGAATTAGATGGGGAGAAGATAAACGATCTTTTTCATTTCGTATCTTTTTTGTATTTAAATCTTTTCACAGTGTACATTTACTACTTCTATAATTAAAAACAATCTAGTATTTATTTATTTTAAGTTTATTTATTTTAAGAGAGAGCACTAGCAGGGGAAGAGCAGAGAAAGAGGGAGAGAGACATTCCCAAACAGGCTCTGCTGACCACGTGGAGCCTGATGCAGGGCTTGATCTCACCAACTGTGAAATCATGACCTGAGCCAAAATCAAGAATCGGACGCTTAACTGACTGAGCCACCCAAATACCCCTCTAGTATTTATTTTTACTTTTTAAAGTAAGTGATATGCCCAACGTGGGGCTTGAACTCATGATCCTGAGATCAGGAGTCACATGCTCTACTGACTAAACCAGCCTGGCACCCTATAAATTAAAAGCAATCTACATTGTTGGCAACCACCTGTATGTCCTGTCACCAGTTCCTCCACTAAGATTCCTAGAGTCTGATTTTCTCATTTCTTCCAGCCCCGGCTAGGCTGTGTGATAATAAGAACTCTAAGATACAACTTCACCTTCACAAGTTCACAAGTTTGGAAAAATAAAGATCTAGATCTTGCTTCTTGGGGCATGAATGCAGGCAGAGAAAACTCAGGATACCAGCAATACTGGAAAAATCCAGTATTTTTCAGCTTCATACTGCTGTAGGAGATATACTGTTAACCTGGGGGGACTCTGGAGTGAAGACGACTTAGGATAGATGCATGCAATGAAAGGCTATTTGGTGAGGTTTCAGATCTAAGGGCTCTTTACCAAGTGGTAGAAAGGAAACCTGTCATTTGGGTTCTGCAGTGGGGGGGGGGGGGGGGGGCACTTGGAACAGTGCCGCAAAGATTCTACATTAGTCCTCCAATGAGCTCCCTATGGTGCAAATCAGATGTAACCTAATGAATTGGTTCCAAACTGCCCTACACATTAGGTCAACTTTCCCGAAGTTTGTATTTCACAAGGAAAAATTTGGTGCAATTGGTATTAAAATTGTCCTTTGTCACCTATACTTCAGGTGAGGACATTCATTTATGCCAGAAGCCGAATCTGCAAAAGGAAAGAGGTGACTTTAAGGATTTGTTAAAGACTAGAATCTGTCGCCCAAGGGAATCTGCAGAGTTTAAAGGTACTTCAAAAGGAAAGCATAGTCAACCATCTGTCTAGGTCTCCACAGGGGCAGTGTCACTTGAGGTAGCAGGGGCCAAGGGACCTCTTCCAGCCCCTGTCTGGTCAGCTTTGTGCTGCTAACTGGGAGTAGCAGCCTAATGTGCATGACCAGTCAGCATGGCTGGGAGATAGATTCCAACCAGCTCCGGGCACCGTAAATAAGCCACAAAGCATTCAGAAATCAAGCTTATAGTTTTGATTCCAAACACACTTTGGGCTTACCCCTTCCTGGCGAGGGATTCTTACGTAATTTACATGTGGGTTAAGGCCAAAGAAGAAAACTGAAGGCAAAGGAATGCAAGTTTTGGGTCAACAACTGATACGCCTGCAGTACTGAGCATGTTTAGCTTAAAACCAGATTTAAAGTAAAACACCATGACCACCTCAAATCTAGAATGAGTTCGGCCCGCCAGACAAAAACAGCTCTTCTGAGGCAATAAGGCTGTGGACACTGGTTCCCTCCTACCCCCGGGGCTCACAGGGAGGCCAATGGGCCAAGGAGGCCCTGCGAGCGGAGAACTGAAAGAGGGGCGGGGAGAAAGGGATAAATACACCCCGCGGGGCACGACTGGCGGCACCACAGTCCTTCACCTTTTGACGGAGCTGACCCAGGCGACGGCGAGCAGAGGCTCAGATGCAGTTCCCAGACCCACGATTCCCCCTCCCAGCTCTTGGGGAAACCCCAAAGGCAGGAGCCAAAAACGGGGAGACTGAGCAGCATTCCCCCGAGCTAGGTTCTCGTTCCTCACTCCTCCGGCCCCAAGGCTGATCTGATCCCAAGCCCCCTCCCCACAATTCTGTGCTCCTTCCCCACACACCCTCGGGGGTCCCCAGATCCCACATCTTCGTTCTTCCTGGACCTCATACTCCATTCCTTACAGTCACAGACCGGGATCCGTTACCTGCAGAGCGGCTCGACAACCCTGCAGGTAGTCCTCCATGGCGAAGTCCCAAGGTGTGCCACCGCCCCTGGCCGTGGAGACGTTACCAGGCGAATGCTCCCCGCCTCGGACTCAGGGGCTTGGGGCGAAAGTCAGGAGGCGGGACTCGAACCCGCCACACAGCGATTCGGCCCCAACCCCGGAGGAAGTGCGTAATCCGACACTCCTGGAGTCCGACGTCGCCCCGCCCCAGAGGCGGAGGCGGAGCTCTGCGCCCAGAGACTCACGGGACCCCTTCCCGGAGGGGCGAAGTGGGGCGTGGCGCGGGGCGTGCTGGGAAACGTAGTTCAGAAGCTCCGAAATGGCCACAAGAATCGAAGGAAGGCGAGTTTTCCGAGATTACTCATTTGACAGAGAAATGTATATGTGTCAGTGTGACCTATATTTGTGGCATCTGAACTTCCCCTCTCGACTCAGGCTAAGTATAGCATCTTTCCATACATTACATGGAGCATCTGGTTGACGTCTTAAATTATACATGGCAAAAACAGCTCTTAGTCTTCCTTTCTCGAATTCTCCTCTTCACCAAACTGACCCTTTGCCACCAATTTTCTGATTGTCCGTGTTATTAAAACAATAGAATAATCTTTGACATCTCTTTTTAATACCTACTACGGTCTCTTGCCAACTCCTGCTGCTTTACACCTTGGTGGCCTGTTTTTTTCTATAGCCTCAGCAAACGTCTCCTCCTTTTCCTGGACTGTTGTAACCTGGGTTTTTTGCTTCCTGCCTCCCTAATTGTTCAAACTGACGTTTCAGCCTTCAGAGTTGCTTGAAGTTTCATCCTGACACAGCCCTGCCAGTCGAGTTAGGAGAGCCCTTCAGAATGTAGAGCTGGGTTCCAACCTCCCTCAACTGCCACCTTCCAGCTCCACGGTATGCAGACTACTACAAATAAATGTACTCTCATCATCAAATACCCCCTCCTTTATTGATCTGTCCCTTTATTTCTTACCGACAGCTTTTCCTGCTGGACCCTCCCTGCCCCCCTAGGAACTGAGAGGAGGTGACTGATGAGAAGCTGAGGCCTGTGCTGGGAACAAGGACCAGGGCACAGGGGTATTCATTCGATCTCCTGCTTGCTCGGCTAGTTCTCTCTCTGCTGCCTCTCTTCCCAGAGCCTGGGGAGTCCTCCACACCTTCTGCACCACCAGGGGCACAGCCCAACCAGTTCCATTTCTAGAAAGAAAGAAAAAAAAAAAAAGATACAGTAAGGACTTAGAAAGTAGCAGGATTTTTTAACTTTAAATGAGTAAATATGCAAATGTTATGCTCCGTGGCCCTGCTTCTGTGGATCCAGAGCAAAGGCCCGCCATACCCAGGGAAAAAGCCCAATCCAGCCGGCTGCTGCTGTCCAGCCCTGCTCCTCCCCATGCTCAGCAAGGGCAGTGTTCTTCCCTGTTCTCACCAGAGAGGCACAAGCGCTCCGTCCCTTCCAGCGGCAGGCGGAGGGAAGAGAAAGGGTCTGTTGTTTTCCTCTCCTTGTTTCTCTCTCCCTCACTGCTGATCACCCAGCTGCTGACCAGGTCAGAAAGCCCTGATGGAAATTCTTCAGTGCTGGGCAAGCCCCTCCTCCTCCAGGGAGCTCGTCCTTGACTAATATTTTTCTTTGTCCTGATGGGAAAAAAAGAGAGAGAAAGAAAAAAGAAAAACCACAAACTTCCTTTGAAAACCAGCGTGTAGTCTGGGCCTGGAGCGCACGCCCTAGACTCAACAACTCAGGGAACCCGAAGACGCTCTGGGGCGACCTGGGAGCACCTAGGCTGCACCCCAGCCTGCCCCCACCCTTCTCTGGTGACCCCAGTCGTGGGCGTGGGTCCGGAAGTGGCCTCCACCAAGCCGGGACCGCCGCTCATAAACCTGTGTAGACCTGTATAAGCTCTGGCCTTGACAGCTGAAAGGCAGCTGGGACTGTGGCAGCGCCCCTCACTGTAGCTACTTCCCCCATCGAACTGCCACAGCTGGACCCTCCTCCTCAGTCCTGGGACAGCAGCAGCGTCTTTAAGGTAAAAAACTTTGTTTTAACCATTTCCTTTACCTCCCCTCCAACCCCCAGTTCTCTTTTTCCTCTCCAGCTCTGGGGAGGTGACATGGACTCTCCCTCCACTCCTGGTCTCTACAAGTCTGGATTTTGAGAGGAGGTAAGGCAGGAGGGCTATGTAAAAGGGACGAGGCGTGGTCCCTTCGTTTACTTCTTGTAATGAAAACTTCCCCGTCTCTCCTGCAAGCAAATAGACAGGGAATGAGAGGGGCGGTTGACTTATTGGGGGAACAAAATTTTAACCCGGAGTTGCATGAAGATTTGGGTCAGACTGAAAAGGAGATTGCAGTAGGAAGGTTCCTGGGGGTGTGTATGGCTTATTGAAGCTACCCACCCATATTATATGTTTCTTGCAACTTTTGACTATTTACTGCCACTGCGAGGGAGGGGCCAGGGCTATTTCAACTCCCTCACCCACCACCAGAGGATAATTCCAGCAGGAGAGAATGTGTGGGACTTAGAAAAGAGGAAAATAATGAAATCCTGGTTTGTTTGAGTGCCCTCCCTCTCCTCCTTTCCTGTTCAGACATACTCCGTGCCCACCCCACCAGGAGCTCACCTTGTAGCGTAGAAATCCTTCATTCCGTCTCCTGCCCCTCCACTTAAGACTTAGCTTGCTTAGCTTTGCCCAATTTGTCTGGGACTCAGCTCCCTGTGGTGTCCAGCTCCTGGTTTCCTTTGGCTCATTCCCCTCACCAGCTAGCTGCCCAACCCCCACTGAATTATTGATCATTTCTGGCATTGGACAGAAAAGATAAGAAACAAACGCTGCTTTTCTCCAAGCTCTTTTAACTTTCCCAGGCTCTGGTTTCTGCTTCCAAGGCTCAACCTAAGTGTCATTTGGGAGGGGAGGAAAAAACGAGAGAGAAAAAACAGTGTAAGGTGTGCAGGCAATTTTTGCTAGTCTGATTCTAAATTAACAACATGTAATGAGATGCAGCTAGCACGAATTAGATTTGAATCAGGAGTATCAATTTGGGTGACTAGACTCCTTTTGGTAACTTTTACGTCTTTCAACTTCATGTCTCAGACCTTTACCTATCCCTGAATTCCTGCCGCTTTACAAGAAGGAAGCATAGTGTCAGGTTAGGAGGGAGCTGGAGAAAAGACAAGATTTCTAACAAGTCTTAAGCTCTCCCCTTTTCTTACCGTGAGTGAGGGGCAGAGGGGAGCTAAGAGATTGAAGGGAGATGTTTTCCAGGGGACAGCGTTTGTGGCTTTTTATATATTTTTTTGCCATCCACAGCCTTAATTAAATGTCTGTGCTAGATTTGATGCTTAGTGCTGATAGAGAGTAGGTTAAACAGGCCCAGGGTTTATATCTAAAACAATCTACATGGGAATAGGAAGAACATGTACACAGGAAGATGAATGTAAGGGGGGTATTTCCTTCTTTTTTTTTTTTAAGTTTTAATTTTTTAACAGATTTTTAAAAAATGTTTAATTATTTTTGAGAGACAGAGTGAGAGTGGGGGAGGGCAGAATCTGAAGCAGGCTCCAGCACAGAGCCCGACACGGGGCTTGAACTCATGAACTGAGAGGTCATGGCCTGAGCCGAGGTCGGCCGCTTGGCCAACTGAGCCACCCAGGCGCCCCCTTTAAGTTTTAGTTTTAATTCCAGTTAATTAACAGTGTTATATTAGTTTTAGGTGTACAATATAATGTTTCAACACTTCTGTACATGACCCTGTGCTTGTTACGAGGGAATATTTCTTATGTAAGTCAATAAAAAGCATTTCACATTCCATAATATATGAAGAGTGGGCAAGAGAGTATCTCCAGGTTTAGGTGATTGGGGAGCAGAGAGGAACTGAGAAACTGGCTATGCCGACTACAGCTGTCGAGAGTGTACTGACAGAATTTGTGGGGCAGTGGTTTTTGTGCTGGAATCTGAAGTTGCCTATCAGAACCTGTCTCTGATTCAAGTCCACATGGCCTACATTTCCCCTCTCTGGCTTACAGGAAGCCCCTCCCAAGACCTTTTTGCTGCAGTTTGGGATTGTGTAAAGTTCAGTAGAGTCCTTGGAGGAGAAAGACTTCTTTCTCACTGGTGTTTCATCTTTTAGGGGATGACTCTGTCTGTCTGTATCTCCACTTTTCACCCCAAGCACTCTGTGATTGTTAATCTTTTCACCCTTGGGATGAAGCAAAGAGAAGGTAGCTCTAAGGATATAAGCAGCCTGTGTGTGCTCTGGATGATCCACGAACAGCGAGGGAGTGGGGTTTGGTGTAGGGGAGAGGAATTACCACCCTCCTGGCTATGTTGGGGGTTACCAACTTGACACCATTACAGGGTGAGCTAAAGATCACTGTATTTTTTTTTTTTT